GAGGAGGTGAGGCGAAGAATAACGGTAATGAAAACAAATCGGTAGACTCAGTCGGTTGTCAACTTTAATGATACAAAACACGTGATGCAACCACCCCCGTTATAGGACACGTCCTGGGCCCAGTAGTAAAACTTGATGCCCAGAAAGAAGGGCTAGAAAATAGCCCAATACCCATAGCATGGCAAGGGACAGGAGACTCACAATGGCCGTCACTAAGGATGTTAGCGAACAGGTTTACGAGGTGAGTCGCAAAAGACAACGAACCAAGGAGACCTATGTCAAAAGAATCTCAGGCATATCAAGGAAAGGGCTCTGTTTTGATGCAGTGGACAAATGGGAAGTCAAGACAGATGCCATAACGCTGGAGCAGGCACGCTTAAAGAAGCTAAAATTATTGATAACCAAGCTCCTGGGTAGGGATGAAGGAGGATTTACGAAGACTACCTCCAAAGGAAGGCGACTCAAACGTCAGAGATCACACCACCATCAAACTTGGAGGACGTATCATTCAAGGTGGAAGTTAGATACGTTTTGAGGCCCTAAAGAAATTCCGAATGCCAAGGTTCAGATTTACGATGGTAGTCTGATCTATCGGTCTTTAACTTAAATCAATGGCTTTGGGAGCATGGAAGTGAGCAAGTTGTTGTTGAAGGTATTCCCCTTATTCCTTTGGGAGATAGCATCTAATTGGTTACCTAATTTGCCGAAAGGAACTATTAAGATTTGGGAAGGCTGGCCGAGATGTTTGTGGAAGGTTTGTGTTACGAACATAATTGCGAGCGCCACTAAGAATAGGATTCATCTATTGGCTTTGAAGATCCAACGATGGCAAAGGCCTCCAGGCTTACACAAAGAGGAATTACGACGGTGTAACTAACCGGATTTCAAGTTATATCACCAATGGGAGCTGGCGTCGTGTCTTTCAAGAATTTGCTTGACAGGATTAATGCCTCTGTCGGAGAAATCACTTGCCAAAACCCTTCCGAAGAGCATTGAAGAGCTTCATGGCACAGATTGATAGTATGCGCTAGTGGGGAAAAAACACAGCAGGGGACGAGGACATCCAAGCCAGAAAGGAGAAACGGCTTCGCCGAAGGCGAGGCCGGAAAGGTAATATGGGTCTTGACAGGCAGGAAACATGGATATGAACTGCACAGGCAGTCACCACAGTATTAGTGATCCCAATTACAGAAGTTTTGGAGAGGATCAAGAAATTCCATATTACACAGAGCGCGCGGAGATACGACTCCTGGGGATTTATGGGAAGGAGCATTGGGAGCATTGATGCTTACAGCTAATGAGATGATCACTATGACTCAACGGTGCAGGCTCTGAAATATACTTAAAAGGATCTGGCTCAGACAGGGTCACCTGAGAGACTATGGTAGATTGAAAGGCCAGGACAAGGGTATATGAGCATGCAAGGCTTTCCTCAGGCACTGACACACACGCTCCACCACCCAATCTCCGTCCGTAGCAAGCATATGGCACTCGAGTAATCAATGTGATTCACTCGAAGGTCTAATAAGAATGAAGTGCTAGACACGCCCATTTTTGACCGTCCTCAAGACTTGGACGTCACATATGGAATAACACTTTTGGTGATTACCCTTGTTTGTGTTCGTCGTGAGTTCCCGAAAGGTCTTGGTTACGCGGCCTTGCCTCAGGATCTTCTCGACTGGAACGTGTTGTGTCTGGTTTTGCACCAAACATTGGTTTTTGGCCTTGGAGGCAGGGAATGCTTGTGGAGGCATCCTCCATACATCAACCGGCCCATTGGCTTGAGTGTCACTGGCTTAGTGTTTTATGCCATACGGGCAATGTTTATTGCGGTCGCACTCTTTGTTGCCGGTCGGCCCATTTATTTTGGTCAAAATGGAAATTTTGAATGGTTCCGATATGTTCAACTACTTTTAGAGATATTTTGTGCCAGCTGTGATGCTGGCTAATCACATCTGTTCCCTCATTACATTGTCTCCCAATGTCCAGGGAAGCAATTCTGAGACTTTGGCAGTTTTCAGAGGAGTATAGCAGGGAAAAACAGAGGCAGCTCTCCCCTCCATACACGTGTATGGAGGGATTTCCCTCTTGGATGGCTTGTTTTGGAAGCCTTACAAGAGGGAGTTGCCTATAAGAAGAGGGCTCCTCTCTTGGCATTAGGGTTAGACAACATAGTTAGAGAGCTCTGGTTTTAGGGTTAGGAATTTGTGTCTATCCTATATATCTCTTTCTCTCTCTCTTGAGCTTAGTGTGTGTGTTTTGTCTTACTTTTGCTCACAAGCACCCACCATTACGCCATCCCTTGGAGCTGAGGCCTCTTGAGGGTTGTTTTGAAGGTTTTGAAGCTGGTTTCAACCAAAAGAAGCTGCTGGAGCTCCATTGTTGAAGAAGGTCTTCAAGGGTAAGAAGCTTGCTCCTTTTTATCCCTTTCTTGCATTGTATTTTTGCCTACCTTGCAACTGTTTTTGTGTTTAGTATATAATATAAAAAAGTTCTGTTTTTAGGCCCTCTAAATTGTTTGTTTAGAGTGTTTTGTGGTTTGAGGGTGTTTGACCCCTCCT